ACACTTTAGAGCAAAGGAGGAGGAGTGAGTCATGTGTTTGGAGAGTAGGTGTGAAGCAGTGTGTGGCCACAGAGCGACCAGTGTGGACGGAGACCTGCAGGCTCTGTGAAGTTAGTACCTGGTACATACCAAAGGCCTCACACACATCAGCTCCATGGATTGTGTTGTTCAACTGAGAAGGAGACAGAAGGTCAGCACATAAACAGGTTCATCGTGGAGCTGTGTGCCTCTGGGGCTCAGAGGCCACAGTCTCAAAGCATTCTGCAGCGCCTTTGCACTTGGGTTGTTCTTGGTGTGTGTGCGTGTGTGTGTGCGCGTGTGTGTATTTTGTTTGTTTATTTGGTTTGGCTTGGGTTTTGAGGCAGTGGTCTCCCATAACAGACAGTGGCTGTCTTCAATTTGATATGTAGCAGAGAATGACATTGAACTCCTGAGCTGCCTGGCTTCTATGTTCCACTATTGTAGGACCACACCGTTTTACCTGGCTCCCCATCCAGTTATTTGGCCCCAGACTGATGAGTTCCTAACCGTCTAACTCACTCAATGACACCAGTACCACCTCACTTCCCATTTACTCTTTGAAGGTTCTGTGACTCAGCATAGATCAGCTGTCCCCAAAGGCTTAATGGGCTGTGGCTTTCCCTACTCGATTCCGCTTCTATATGGCCCCATCTATCCCCACAAGAAGCCAGAGCTCCTCCTACCAATTCTTTGATGGGAAAACTGAGGCACTTGTAGTTCATGAATTATCCCCAGCACAGCAGCTGGGGGTGGACTCTTACCTAAATCCATGGAAGATTCAGTGAGTCATTTTCCTAGACCAAGTGGCACAGGAATCAGCACAGGGAAGGAGATGAGAGAAGGCTGTGTGTGTGTGTGTGTGTGTGTGTGTGTGTGTGTGTGTATGTGTGTGTGTGTGTGTGTGAAGAACATCAGCCACCTAGGAGATTAGCAGCCTGTAATCACTGGTGGGATTAAAAGTCCCTTTGGAGCCTCCTGAAGCTCTTTTCAAGGCTGAGGCAAAAGGGCAGGATTGTGGGAGGACTGTGTGTTCTCTGTGCTCAGTCTCCTACGCTTCGGTCGAATGTGACTTTCTCCTCCAACAGTGCACCCTTGTCCAGCTCTGGGCCATCCTCCTGCAGCTCAAGACCCACTTTGGCTACTGCCTTCTTGCCAGGCTCCTGCCCCACTCACTGATATAATCGTTCCCCCTGCAGCACTGACTGTCCACTTCAGACTAGCCCTGTCAGGCTGCCTCCAACCCATGTTACCCCCAGTTCATCCTGCAAGTAGCCTGCTGCCCCAAAGAGTGATTCCAGGGCAAGGACCTTGGAGAGGCAGCTTCAGGGGCTCTAGCAAGTTCTTAACAAGGAAGTTGCATTTAAAGGATTTGCTCTGCTTCTCTCCCCCCAAGTAGTACCACATTTCCAGTGTGACCTTACTTCCTGTAGGCCTGAGGGTGTCTAGCAGGTAGCCAGACCAAGGACACAGGGCCCATTTGGATAAAGTGATGAGAATAGCCCCTGGCTAATTGCTGCCCTAGGTTGGCATCTGCCCACTCAACAGATGGGCCAGTCAAGGCTGAGCTTTATAAAGACAGGAATGTGATTTTTGCCTTGCCCCCTGCCACCTTGCTTGAGAGACACAGACTCAGAAGTCCTCAGCTTTCTTCTGAATGGAGAGACCTTCTGATTTCAGAGCATGTTATCGCCTGTCCTGTTCCCTCCCAAGCTCCCCTACTTCTTTTGTCCCCTCCTGTCTCCTCTAACCAATACCCCACTGGTGCCCCATGCCCATTGCCAGCTCGGCCCTTGCCCTCATTGTCTGAGGTATTAGAACCCCAACAGCCAGCCTGGCCCTGTCTCTCCCCCTTCTCCAGTTATCCTCTAGTCCCTGAGGCCTCATTATTAGGGTAGTGGTGACCTCCCCATTGTCTGGCCTGTCTGGCCCTGGCATGAAAGGTAGAGTTTTGGCAGAGAATAGAGGCTCGGCCTGATTCCAGCGTGTTTTCTGCAGTGTAGAAAGAGCCTGTAATGTGCTTGGGCCGGGAGGCCTGGGGAACCACAGGGCAACCCTTGTCACTAGGACAACAGCAGGGATCCCTGGAGGGGGAGGGGGAGAAGGAGAGCAGGTGGCTCTTTGTTTGGTGCCTGATCCCAGCCCCCTGCTTCATCTTCCACTGCAGGCAGCCCTGAGAAGGCTCCTGGGAAGAGATTGTAGGCTGTGCTCCCAGCACATGCCAAACCACTGGGCTGCCTCCCCTAGAGAGGCAGAAGAGGTTCCTTGATGTGAAAGGGACCTTTGACCCCTGCAGTAACCAACAGACATCTTCCCAGGACCTATAACACAGTCTTGAGGTAATACAGACCAGTCAGTGCCAGGCTAAAGGGTCCCATATGATAGGGTCAGACAGAGTTGGTCCATGTGGCTTAGGATAGTGGTCTTCTGTACCAAAACTCTGTCAACTCCTGGCATTTTTAACCATCAACCATCCCTCTCTCGATTCCCCTGCCCCTCTCCTCCTCTCTGCTTAGTTTCCACATCTGAGCACAGATCTTTGGTCCTCCAGTTTTAATGCTGGCCGGACTGAGCTGCTTGAATGTGGAATCTGTCTGCTGCTTACAGGCAGGCTGCTGTACTCATCTTTGCTAGTGTTTTCTCACCTCTGTGCCGCTTCTGTACCATGGGGATCACAACGTGTTCTCTTCCATCTATTGTGAGAGGAGTCAAATTCTGTACAAAGAGGCTAGAGAAATGGCTCAGTGGTAAAGAGCACTTACCTGTTGCTCTTCCAAGGGACCCAGGTTCAATTGCCAGCACCTATGCGGCAGCTCACAATCATCTGTAACTCAAGTTTCAGAGGATCCAACCCCCTTCTGGCCTCCATAGACACTAAGCACACAGGTAGGGCAAAGATGAATATGCAGGCAGAAACCTATCCATATAAAATAAAAAATAAATAAATCTTTATAAAAGAAAAATCTGTACAAGTACACAAAACGATGTTTGGGTCCATAAAAACAAGGCAAACATTCGGTGTTATTACTCTTTTTTTTTCAAAATTACATTTAGAGTGTGAGTCTAATGTCTGTCTGTCTGTCTGTCTGTTGGCCTGCCTGCCTGTGTGTCACAGTACAAGTGTTGTGAAAGTTGAAGGATAACTTGTGGGAGTCAGTTCTCGCTTTCCACTATGTTGGTGCTGGGATTGAACTCAGGTCATCAGGCTTGCCTGCAAGTCCCTTTCCCCGCTGAGCATGTATTTTTGTTTTAACCAGGTGTGGTGTCATACTCCTTTAGTCCCAGTAAAGGGACTTGGGAGGCAGAGAGAGGTGGATCTCTGAGAGCTTCAATGCCAACCTGGTCTAAACAGTGAGTTTCAGGGCAGCCAGGGCTATAATAGAGAGCTTGTCTCAAAAAACGAAAAAAGAAAAAAAAAAAACCCAAGAATCTATTATTACTGTTGTTGTTGTTGTTGTTAGTGTGTGTGTGGGGGGGGAACTATCAGAGGATGGTTTTGGGGATCAGTTCATTACTTCTTCCCCTGTATGAGTTCTAGGGATCGAATTCAAGTTGTCAGGCTTGCTTAGCAAAGGCCTTTTATCTACTGAGCCATTTCATTGGCCCTAACATTTTTAGTCTTGGAGATCTTGAGTTTCCTGAAATACTTGATGGAAATAAGTAAATGGATATTGTCATGCCTGGTACCTGGTGCTAGGGTGGAGGATGTGATCTGAACTTGGTCTCCTTGGAGTTGTCCTTTCCTAAAGAGTTCTGAGAGCAGCTGAAGGCCCCTGACCATGCTTTCTGACTCTCAGGATTAGATTGTCTAGACACATTGTACACAAAAGCTGCTTTCTCAAAACAGCCTCTGTTAACCTTATCCAGGGAAAGGAGCAACATGTGTTTGACTTCTAGCTTCATTGCCTGTACTTTCCCAAGGTCCACGGCGATTCAGTGCCTCCCATTCCTGTACTGGTGTCAGACCCAGGGACTCTTTGTGCTAAGCAAGCACTGTGCCACTGAGCTGTATCCCCTGCCTTCCATTGCCTTTAAAAACCCAAGCAACCCATTGCAGCTTTTCGAGGTATACACTGGAGTCCCATGTGAGTTGCAGTGTCATTTTCTGGCAAAGTATTGAGAGTAGGCTCTGTGAGCTCTGAGGGGAAGGAACAAAAAGGGATAAAGACTTTTTCTAACTGAACCTAAGAGGCTTCTCATGGAAAATTAGTACCTGTCTGTCCATTGAACATCCCATTTATTCATCAACAAAACTTGATTGATGTAAGGCAGATGCTATGACAGGAGGCACTGGCCTCAGAGGAACTGCAGCCCGGTGATGAGGCAGAAATAGCTAATGATGGGTTGCCTGGGAAGCCTGGCCCCTGTCCAGGGTGCAGGGGAGTTTCAGGAAGTTAAAGAGAATGGTGTAAAACGCACAAGTGCAGCAGGTGCAGATGGTGGTGGTGCACGCCTTTAATCCCAGCACTAAGGAGACAGAGGCAGGCGAATCTCTGTGAGTTCAAGGCCAGCCTGGTCTGCAGAGTGAAGAAGGTACACCATGGGGATGCTAGCGTTCCTTCTGCATGGGGGAGGCTCGGCTCCTTCTTTCCCTGTCCCAGAAGTCTTTTGTCTCCTCCACTTACTGAACTCCACTCCTGCTTTTCTTTCTACAGTTAGAGTAAATGGAAGGAAGGGTCTGGAAAGAGCTGTAGCTGGGTAGTAGAGGGCTAGTACCATTGAAAAGAAAATCAACCTGGCACTCTGCAGGCAGAGACAGGTAGATCTTGTGAGTTCAAGGCCAGCCTGGTCTAGAGAGTGAGTTCCAGAACAACTAGGGCTGCACAAAGAAAAAGAAAGAAAGAAAAAAAAAACTAAACTAAAAAGAAAGAAAAGAAAAAGGGAAAGGAAAACCAACTTTCCAGTGAGGGAGATCTGGGCCCCTCACAAGCACTGGGAGAGGTGGTACTCCACTGACTCTGCTCTCTGTGCTTTGTCTTCAGTTTGACCCTGGGAGCACTGGCTACATCAGCACAGGAAAGTTCCGGAGCCTCCTGGAGAGCCACAGCTCTAAACTGGACCCACACAAGAAGGAGGTGCTCCTGGCTCTCGCAGACAGCCATGCAGATGGGCAGATCTGCTACCAGGACTTTGTCAACCTGGTGAGCATTCTGGAAAGGGGATGGGCTTAGAGACACAGGAAGTAGTTTTAGGCAACAGGTGTTTTTGTTTGTTTGGTTGGTTGGTTGGTTGGTTGACTGACTGTGTGTTTGAATGGCCTCAGCTTCAACAGGTGAGAAGATATCGCCATCATTGAAAGAAACAGGTCCCAACTAAATAGAAAAAGACATGGTTGGCCTGGGAACATATATTAGGTCTCCTCAAATATGTTTCAGCAAGGACACAGTTTCATGAAGTTTTTTATAGTAATAGAACAAAGAAAGTTATAAATCAAGACATTTTAGAAACACATCAGAGAGACGGGTTAAGCAAGATGAGTGTCTTAGGGTTTCTATTACTGTGAAGAGACACTACGACCAAGGCGTATAAAGGGAAACATTTAATAGGGGCTGGCTTACAGTTTCAGAGGTTCAGTCCATTATCATCATGGCAGAAAGCATGGTAGAGATCAGCAGGCATGGTGCTGGAGGAGCTGAGAGTTCTACATGTTGACCCGGAAGCAGCAGAAGGAGATTACAAAGACACGGTAGCCAGATTTGAGCTTCTTAGACCTCTAAGCCTACCTCCACAGTGACACACTTCCTCCAGCAAGGTCACACCTACTCCAACAAAGCCACACCTCCTAATGGTATCATTCCCTATAGCCAAGGATTCAAATACGTGAGTCTATGAAGGCCATGCCTATTCAAACTATCACATGGGGGAATCTTTCCTATAGGCTTCAGATACTGACTGACAAACAAACAAACAAACAAAAACAACAATAAAACACTCAGATGTTGTCTGATGACATTCTTAGCCTTTGGATTGTTGGAATCTTGTGATCTGCTAAGTTAATAAATTCCAAAAGGGCTGGTGTGGTGGTGCATGACAGAGACAGAGGCAGACAGATCTCTGTAAGTTCAAGGCCACCCTGGTCTACATATCTGAGTTCCAGGTCAGCCTGAGATTCATGTCTCAAAACAAAAACAAAACAAACAAAAACTAAATTCCAGAGTGATTTTTACTTGTCAGTCATAGGATGTCGGGTCTGGTACAGAGGTGGGCAAGGAATGGTTATTTAGGAGGCTGAAGACAACGAAGGAAAATTAGGCTCTGGACCTCCAAAACCACTTTCCACATGGCTGCCATTCAAATGAGTCAGTCTGTCTTTGCAGACACAGCTTGTTTCCTGGAATTTCCCTTTACACTACTAAGGTCTTGATTTCCCTTAAGGCGCCTAGTAATTTGAGTCCTTCCCATTGTGATAATAAGGTGGCTGCACTGCACCAGCCCTTTCATCCTTGGTTCCCAACATCTTTGTACACAGAGTCTCTTTTTGTGTCAGGTCCTAGCTAAGGCCTAAGAGTTCTTTCTGTGCACTGGCCTGGATTGGGTTGGTGGGATGTATTAGGGAACTCAGTTAGTGTTCTTCCCAGGAGCTGGGAGTGGGGAAGTCCTGGCAGGAGAAAAGATAGATCAAGCCAGACTTCCTAGGAATGTGCATAACTAGAGGCTTAGACCTGCGGGCGACTTCTGGAGGGGCTGTGGTTCTTGAGTCTTGCCCATTTTCTGTTATCTTTGGTGGAGACACACCCTCTCCTTGGGGATTGATGCTATGTTCTTTCAGAGGCTTCTGCAGCAGGGTTACAATGGGCTTCAGATGTCTTAGGCAAGCTGCACTCCCCACCTCGAGTGGACGGGACATCAGTAGACATTCTATGAACTAGCAAGGTGAATACAAGGCTGAATTCTCGTTTTCCCATTGATGAGATGGTCCGCTCTCTTCATGTCGCCCATGGGGGATGAAATTCTGTGAAGTTCCCTGTATTCTTAGACATCAAAGGCCTCGATCAGGGAAGCCTGCTGTCACTGCCCCATCTTAGCTTTCTATGATGTGACTGCCCAGACAATGATGGCTTCAGTGGCCTTTCAGCTGCAGGTTGCCGCAGTCTGATGTAAGGGTCTGGAGGGAACTGCTGTAGACATTTGAGGGTCGAAGACCTCAATTCTGAGTAGACTCGGCCAAAGCTGAGCTCAGTCAAAGGCTCTCAGACTGGGCCACAAGAGTGTCATTAACAACACCAAGAAGTAGTCTGACTCTGCCTTGTGCTCAGCCCATAGGCAACAAGTGCCTGCCCAATCTCAAGGCCCGGGGAAGGTGTCTCTCTCCTGTCTGGCTCCATTCCAGTGGATCCCTCTGTGGGATCTCATGATGAGACGTGACATGATGTTGTCACATTTTTCTGTTCAGACTCTGAGCTGGAGCAGCTAGTCACAGCCTGCATTCATGTAAAAAGGGCCACCCTGGAGCTTGACCCTTGCTCTGCCTTTGCTGCCCACTCTTTGCCTCTTTTTTCCCATTTGTAAAATGAATCCAATGGTTCACACAGTGTTTCACAAGGACCAAATATGATAAAGGACTGTATTTGTAAGTTTCTGTTGGCTGTCAATCTTCTGCCAGGGAACCTCCCTGCATGATTTCTGTGGCCCTTCTTACACCAACCCAGACAAAACAAATCACCTTTATCCAGAAGGTTGGGAATGGCTAGAAGGACTTGCCTAAGGACAGCTGGCCAGAGGAGGCTCACTTGAAGCCACACAGGGACCAATGAGAAGCAGGACTCAGGGGTGATGAGAGGACTCTGCAAGGGAGGCTCCTAACACATGGCCCCATCTGAGCCTGGATCCTTTCTGTGCCCTCCAGAAAGAGCTGTGGACTCCTATGTCCTGCTGGTCTCATTCATCTTGATAGCCTTGCCTATATCTTGCCTTCAGGTCTGGCTAGATTATCTCTTGCTGGTCCAAAAAGTACATCAGTAACTATATGCCAGTAGCTTGGAAGCATCTGGGCTCTTGGGCCAGCAGATCTGGGTCATTTGGACTTCTTCCCCTGGGAATAGTTTACAGTATGATCCTGAAGAGAAAGTCAAGGATAGCACAAGTTTCTAGAAGCTGGAAGTTAGTCTAACTGCTGGCTGAAGCAGATAGAGTTCTATGGGGGCCAGGCCAGGACTGCTGAGGGCAGGATCTGGTCTTGGTTAGGCCCGGGACTTGTCATATGTCCTAGGAGACACTAAGGTGTCATGGCTTCTGTGGCAGGGCATTGAGTTCTGATTCTGGCAGTGTCTAACAGCTGGCTGACCAGGACCTACTTGTACCTTCCCAAGCTGGTATATCTGAGGATGCTTACTCTTCCTCACCTCTGGCCCTCACCTGAGCATCACCTCCTCCAGGAAAGCCCTTGCTGACCACCTTGGTCCACACTGGCCTACAGTCTGTGTATTCTCTCAGAACTGAGACTGCTGGTTACTTCTCTGTCCTCAGCATCCCACTGACTCCCCTGTGTCTGGTGATGGCTCTGACATTTGGGATGGGACAATGAGAAATGAGTGGATGGGAAGAATGTATAAGTATGGGGCTGGGTTTGAACCTGTGACATTTTAGGGCTCTCTGTACCTCAGTTTCCTATTAGACAGAAGAGATCTTTGGGGTCCTCATCTAATGGAGATGATCTGAGCATCAGAGATCAACACTGTGGTATTGTGGGGTGCTGCTTAGAGCTCAGAAAGCAGGGATTTGGATTGCTCTACAGAATATGCAGGCTGAGGTGTGGGTGCGGGGTTTCCCTGAGGACCCGGCTCTGACCCTCTCCCCACTCCATTTCCTGTGCAGATGAGCAACAAACGTTCCAACAGCTTCCGGCAGGCCATCCTTCAGGGAAACCGCAGACTGAGCAGCAAGGCCCTGCTGGAGGAGAAGGGGCTGAGCCTCTCGCAGCGGCTCATCCGCCACGTGGCCTACGAGACTCTGCCCCGGGAGATTGACCGCAAGTGGTACTATGACAGCTACACCTGCTGCCCTCCGCCCTGGTTCATGATCACAATCACGCTGCTGGAGGCAAGGACCAGGGTGAAGGCAGGGGCTTTCTAGACCTGGGGCGGTGTGGGGAGAGGAGTCTCTGAGGGGATGGGGAAGGCTGCAGATCCAGTAGCACTTGTCCTGCTTGTTGGAGCGTTGCTAGGGAACTCATGGGTTATTATAGCACTAGGCTGCAAAGAGAGTCCAAAGTTTTGAGGGATGTTTTGCTTTGCTTTTTAAATTTTATTATTTGTGAGTCTGTGTGTATACAGAGAGTCGTGGGGGTGTCTACTGAGGCCAGAAGAGTGTCAGGTTCCCTTGGATGTGTAATTAAAGGGTGTTACCTCGTGTGTGGTACCATCAACCCAACTCCTGCTCTCTGGAAGAGCAGCACCGTCTGGAAGAGCAGCCTTTTAACTGATGAGCTATCTCTCAGCCTCTTGCTTTGCTTTTTGGTTTTTGAGACAGGGTCTCACTAATCCCAGGCTGGTTGGGCCTCACTGTGCATCCCAGGCCGGCCTCCAACTCTTGCTCTCCTAGCCCTAGCCTTCAGCTCCCGAGCTGGGCTATGCCAGTTGCCTGGGCTAAGTGCCTTTCAGTGAGCACTCCTGGCAAAGGTTATTTGAGGCTTTTTTTTTCTTCCTGAAGCAAAGTCTCCATATTTCTGCACTTTTCTACACAGTAAAACAATGTGACAAACTCACAGATTTGGGGATTTAGCCAGACAAACTCAATAAAGCCAATTTATGTAATTCCTCCCCTGGAGGACTAGAACAGCATCTGTTGGTCCCTTGGGACTTCATTTCCAAACCATAATGCTGGAGTCACAAGAGCTTCCCCAAGCTGTCCCTGGAAGGACAGATACCTCCATAGACTGAGAGAATGGACAGGTACTTCCTGGATACAGAAAGAGTACGCATTGACCTCTGGGAAAGAGTGTTTGTGAACAAGGAAATGAAGTTTTTAAAGAACATTCTCTCTTTAGGGAATCTGCCATACTTCTCAAAAACCAATCATTTTTTCCAAATCAACAAAAACCATTTCCTCTTTTTATTTGTTTTATTATTTATGTTTGTGTGTGCACACCCACACGTCAGTGGAAAGAAATCCTCAGATCTCCTGGAGCTGGGGATCGAACTGGGGTCCTCTGAAAGAGCAGCCCCAAACCACACTTACTATTCTGCAAAAATGAGCCCTGCACAGACAAGAGACTCTCCAGGTACTCCTGTCTGTGACTTGTCCCTGTGTGATGGAACTCAATTCACAGTTCAGCACTGGAACTCCAGTAGCCCAGCTAGCCCAGCCCACGTCCGGCTTCTGCAGCGATGCCAGGCTTCCTTTTGTCATTCTCATGTCTCTGGTCATTTCTCCTCTAAAGCCACGTGCTTGATTAACTCCTCCGCACGAGGTCTCAAGGTCTCCTGCCTCCTCTTTGAGGCAGGTGGCTCAGTTTCATGGCATCCTTTTTATTTAATCTTTGCAATCCATGAAGGGTCACCAAGAGTTCAAGGACAGGCTGGGCTAGAGAATGAGATCTTGTCTCAAAAAAAAAAAAAAACAAAAACAAAAAAAAAACAGGAATGGGCCAGAGATACGGCTTAGTAGATAAAAGCACTGGTTGCTTCTTCAGAGACCTGAATTTGATTCCCAGAACCCACATGGCAGCTCACAGCCATCTGTAGCTCCAGTTCCAAGGGATCCAACTCCCTCTTCAGGCCTCTGATGGCACCAGACATGAGTGGTGCACTGATATATATGCAGGCAAAACATCCACAGAAATAAAATAGTAAGGAAAATTATTTTGAAGAAACTCTAAGGCAAAGGCAGGTGGATCTCTGAGTGTGAGGCCAGCCTGGTCTACAGATGGAGTTCTAGGACAGCCAGAGCTACACAGAAAAATCCTGACTTGAGAGAAAAAAGAACTAAAACAACAAAAACAAACTAACAAAACAAACAAAAAGCTTCCCTCTGTTCTGCAGGAAGAAATCTGTCTGTTGTTATGGTTTCATCCGAGCAAATGTTGCAGTGGTGTTTTTCTGAGGTTTCCTTAGCTGTGTTCTTCCAACGCTTACTGTGTGGGGCTGTTTATTAACTTCTATTTGAGGACCCACGATAACGAGATACCTTGGAAGCTCTGCTCGTTGCCAGGGCACCTGAAAGGCATTAGGTAGAGAGAACGGCTGTGCGCGTGCGCATCAAACCTAGGCTTCATGCACGTTAGGCAAACACATTACCTCTGGCCTCTATTCCCAGCCGCCTGAGCAGCAGCCTGAAGAGTGTAAGCTATGTCCAGGCTTAGTCCAGAAAGCCCAGTCTGACCTGAATTATACCTTCCTTCCCTAAGTGTGTGCTGGGCCTTGAGCTGCCTCTTTGTGTTAAACTTGATGTTTGCTATTGTTCTTATTTTGTCAATTTAAATTTTTAAATGACATTTACTTATTCATTTACTTGCTTTGTGTGTGGGGGGAGTGTGTGCATGGGGCCCATGTCTAGGTGAGAGGTCGATTTGTGGGTGTCCATTCTCTCCTTCTCCTTCTAGATTCCAGCCTGAGCTTAGGTTACCAGGCTCTGTGCCTAGTGCCCTACCCACTGAGCCATCTGGTGCCCCCAACTCCATCTTAAACATATCTTTTTGAATTTTTAAAAATTCTTTATTAGACGTATTTACTTTATACCAGTGAATATGTGTGTGTGCACCATGTGCTTACAGTGTTCGCAGAGGTCAGAAGAGGGTATTAGATCCCCTAGAACTGTAATTACAGATAGTTGTGAGCTGCCATGTTGGTGTTAGGGACCAAATCCAAGTCCCTTGCAAGAGCAACAAGTGCTCTCAACTGCCGGGTCAGCTTTCCAGCCCCTGGCTTTGTTTAACTTATTTATTTTATTTTGTTGTAAGTGTGTGTGCCTGAGGGTATATATGTATTTTCATCCCATTTTGTTGTACTTTTAAGAAAGGTCTCTTCCTTACAGGGTATAGGAGTGCATGCTTTTAATCCTAGCACTGGGGAGGCAGGTGGAGCTCTATGAATTTGAGGCCAGCCTGGTCTACAGAGTGAGTTCCAGGACAGCCAGGGTTACACAAAGAAACCCTGTCTCAAAAATCTAAAAAGTAAAATAAAATATAAAAAATATAAATTGAAAAAGTAAAGAAGAGAAAAGAAAAGAGAGAGTCTTCCTTTTTATCTAGCTGCCCTTAGACTATCCTGTCTCTGGAGTGCTTGGATTATAGCTGAATGCTGCCATTGTCAGCAGCCACATCACTATGTGACCACCGGGCAGGGCAGTCTAACTATTGGTACCCATTTTCAGATATGGAAAGTGAGGACCAAATAATTCAAATAATTTGCCTAGGTTTGTCCAAAGGAGCCAATGTTTGTGTTCAGATCGGTTCATACTTTAAACTCTTCAGCTATATGGATTTTGAATCCTCAATATATAAAAAAGCTGATTTAACTCTCTCAGAGCCCAAGGCTTCTATTTCCACAGAGCTGTAGTAACCCAAGTCTCTGGTTCCACAACAGATAGAAAATGAGGGGACACGGAGCTGCTGGCCACACCCCACACCAACAGTACAGGAGAATGATAGCACCCACAGCCGGCAGTGAGAGAAAAAACACAAAACAGTTTACAGTTCTTCTGTCTTAAAGAAATTCAGGGCTGTTGTATCTGGGAGGGAAACCCCCACCCTCCTGGGTTTCTGCACTGTGGTAGCCCAGCTTGGTACCCAAAACATTCTTAAATGGCTCTGCACACACTCCAATTATGAACACAGGGACACAGCAATACATTTTACAGTGAGTTCCACAGAAATCACCAAAGGAAATACCCTTCCTGGGCCTAAATAAATATACTTAGTCATCTGAAAAACCGATATGTGGGATACATACGTGAAGACAAGGAGAAACCAGAGACCTTGTGTGCTGTTGGACATGCCAAGTGGCACAGCCACCAGGGAAACTGGGATTTCTTCAGAAAATGAGACACGGGGCTGGAGAGACAGCTGAGGAAGGGCAATGGAACCCGGGTTTGATTCCCAGACATACAACATGGTGGCTCACAACCATCTGTAACTCCAGTTCTAGAGGATCTAGGCAGGCACCAGGCACACATGTGTACACAGACATGAATGTAGGCAATACACTGAAACACATAATAACTAGTTTTGTTTTATTAATACCATTTATTTATTTATTTATTTATTTATTTTTGGTTTTTCGAGACAGGGTTTCTCTGTGTAGCCCTGGCTGTCCTGGAACTCACTCTGTAGACCAGGCTGGCCTTGAACTCAGAAATCCGCTTGCCTCTGCCTCCCAAGTGCTGGGATTAAAATTGTGCACCACCACTACCCGGCACTTGTTTTGTTTTTGAGACATGGTTTCTTTATGTAGCCCTAGCTATCTTCAAACTCACTTGGTAGACCAGGCTGTCCCCAAAAAGAAATCTGCTTGCTTCTGCCTCCTGAGTGCCAGAATTAAAGGTGTACAGCACATCGCCTGGCTTCAAATAATAACTTTAATAAATGAAACTTAAGACTACTATCTGGGCTGGAGAGATGGCTCAGCGGTTAAGAGCACTGACTGCTCTTCCAGAGGTCCTGAGTTCAAATCCCAGCACCCACATGGTGGCTCACAACCATCTGTAATGAGATTGGATGCCCTCTTCTGGTGTGTCTGAAGACAGCTACAGTATATTCATAAATAAAATAAATAAATAAATCTTTAAAAAAAAAAAAAAAAGACTACCATCTATGCTGGGCAGTGGTGGCGCATGCCTTTAATCCCAGCACTTGGGAGGCAGAGGCAGGCAGATTTCTGAGTTTGAGGCTAGCCTGGTCTATAGAGTGAGTTCCAGGACAGCCAGGGCTACACAGAGAAATCCTGTCTCAAAAAAAACCAAAAAAAAAAAAAAAAAAAAAAAAAAAGACTACCATCTATGTAGCAATTCCATTTCAGAGTTAAGAGCAGTGACTGGAGAAAAGCTACTTGTCTACCTTGTTCACAGAGACATTCACAATAGCCAATAGGTGGCAGAATCCAAGTTCTCACTGACCGATGAATGAGTCATCAGAGTGAAGCAGATGTGTGCATTGGAATATTATTCCACCTTCAAGGCAACTGCCTAATTCTGCTCAGCATGATAGGGTATTCCTGTGATTCCAGCACTTTTGATGCTGAGGCAGGAGGATCATGAATTAGCAGCCAGTCTGGGCTGTATTCTAGGCTAACCTGGGCTATCTAGCAAGGATGCTATCATAAAAAGAAAGGAAAGGAAGGAAACTGACATGTGGTAGGTCAGCCTGGAGAATAGACAATGCAAAATAAGCCTGTCCCAGAGGGAGGGGTGCTGTGCAATCCTGTCTGCATGTGCTGCAGCCCTAGCTGCACAGAGCCCTGGGATGGGCATGCTGATGGTAAGACATAGAGGTGTGGGGGTGGGGAGGTGCAGGGAGGGACAGCAGGGAGTTCTTGATCATAGGTACAGAGTTTCAGTTCTGTAACATGAAATGAGCTTTGTGCACAGGGAATAGTGCGGGTAGCACAGTGAGAATGTACTTGGTGCCGTTCAACCATATGGTGAAAACTGGCCACGATATTAGGTAGGTTGTCAAGATGGCACACAGATGTAGAGACACACACACACACACTCACACACACACACACACTTACACTAAAAAAATAAAGTTTAAAGAACTTATAGATTCTAAATTTATATCCATTCTACCACCATGTTTTTATTTTTACCTTTATTTTTTCTAGTTTAGTTTTATTTTTAAGAAACGAAACTTTGGGGCTGGAGAGATGGCTCAGTGGTTGAGAACACCAACTGCTCTTCCAGAGGTCCTGAGTTCAATTCCCAGCAACCACATGGTGGCTCACAACCATCTATAATGGGATCCGATGCTCTCTTCTGGTGTGTCTGAAGAGAGCAATGGTAGTGTACTCATATGCATAAAATAAAATCCTTAAAAAAAAAAAAAAAAAAAAAAAGAAAGAAACGAAACTTTGGGCCGGGCGGTGGTGGCGCACAACTTTAATCCCAGCATTCTGGAGGCAGAGGCAGGAGAGGGCGTCTCTGGGAGTTAGAGGCCAGCTTTGTCTTCGAAGTGAGTTCTAGGACAGCTAGGGCTACATAGAGAAACCCTGTCTTGGGAAAGAAAAGAAGAGGAAGAAGAAGAAGAAGAGGAGGAGGA